CCCGGAGTGGATTCGGCCCGATTCACAACTACGTACTCGACAGCGGAGACGCCATGTAAGGTGGTTATAGCTAGAAGAGAGAAAAGGAAGATGGTTTGGCAAGTACTCATGGCAGTGGTTTTGTTTTAATTTCTTGGTTGATCAGATACCGTCATGCTATACTGCTTATATAGACTTCTTTCGGCTCATTGCAGACTGGGATGCCGTAAGGTCACGGATATTGAGGAACGTTCCTCCATTTTTGAACTTTCCAAGTCTTAAATTGACGCGTGGACTTGTAAGATTTAATTGCTTCTGCAACCAAATTTCAACTCTTTGGTATGAACAAGTAGTTAAAAAAGAAAAAGAAAAAAGAGAAAGACAGTAATCGATATTTTTTTTAATTTAATACATTTCATAATATATTTATTAAAAAATTATTATTTTAAAATATAAATTAAAAATAAAAGAATTATAAATTATAAATTTTAAATTTTAATAATTAAACTAGTAAATATTATAAATTATATTAAACTAAACTATATATAAATTAATTTTCTTTAAAAAAAGTTTCAAAAGAAGAGAACGCGGTTTCAAGAGATTTGCCTTTGTTTACTTTTCCTCCTAAATTTATAAGAGTAAAATGTTTTGTTTTTATCAAATTTTACCATATTGTACAAAATTAATATTTAGATAAGGGGTATTTGGTTGCAGATGCTTTCTCCTCATTTAAGGGTGTCTTGTTTACAATTCATTAGAGACTCATTATAAATGTACTTTCTTTGTTCACAATAATTACTGTTTTATCTTTTAACTTTAATTATAGTATCAATCTTATTATCAAAATCTTTTCTCTTTTTTTTTTAGGGTAATATTTGGGTCATATACTCTCAATTACTAACGTCATACATTTTTATTTTAACTAATTATTATGCCTTCTAATTTATTTTAAAAATTAAAAAAAATGTAGAGTTTTGGGAAAAAAAAAAAGCAGTGTAGTTAAGGATATAATAGTTAGTTAAACTAAAAAAGTGTAACATCCCGAATTTCACATCATGATAGAAGTATGAATATGAATGGTATATACCTGTAGAGATTACTACAACTAACAACTTGAGTTTAAATTTTTAAAAGCTTATGAATTTTAACTTAAAGAATTGTTAAGCTAATTAGTGACAAGTTTTGACTTGAGTCACTTTAGTTTGGCGTTAAAATAATTACTTGTTGTAAGCCGTATGCGCATGTTGACCATCATGATTGGTGACAGTGTGGACCTCCTTGTGGGTTAGTGGGCCTTATTTTGATTGTAATTGGGTTTGATGAGGGTACCAAACATTTAAATGGGAAACATAAGTCTTAAGACCAACCACTTGATTTTGTACTTTTGAGGGCTTATGAGCTTTAGTCTAAAAAATTGTTAAACTGGGTTGTTTTAGACTTTTAGTTGGTATCAAAGCAATCACTTCATGTAGGTGTGGGTCCATTGTAATCATTATGGCTGATGGTA